CAAGGACCAGCTGAAAATGAGGTGTTTCCCCGAAACACTCAAGGACCGGGCAAAAGCTTGGTTTATGACACTTGGTCCCGACTCCCTCACCACTTGGGAGCAAGTGTACACCAAGTTCATTGGGAAATACTACTCCCATCAGAAGACGCAGGAGTTTCGGTCCCAAATTGTTTCCTTTTCCCAACAACCAAACGAGCCACTTCATGAGGCATGGGAGCGCTTCAAAGTCCTTCAGAGACAGTGCCCACACTATAACTTCCCACCTGTCTTGTTAATGAATAGCTTCTATGACTCTCTCCATAAGAATCTCCAGTACATGGTGGACAATGCGGCCGGTGGCGATGTTTGGGCAAAGACGGCTGAGGAGATGAATGATATTTTTTAGGCGATGAGTTCTAACTCGTCTTAAAAGAGCAGTAGAGGGAAGAGGGCCGTGGTCAACGAAATATCTTCTGGGCGAGACATGATGGCCCATCAGATAGCCAAGCTCACGGAGCATATGCGGCTACTGAATGCAAGGGGAGGCTAACCAATGCAGACTATGACCGTAGAGGCGTGTGGAGCATGTGGAGTCCAAGTGTACAGGTCTGAGGTGTGTCCCTCGGCATTCCATCCTAATTTCAGTGAGCAATATGCAGACGCCAACGCTCTACAGGGGTACCAGAACCGACCAGCAAATGACCCCTTTTCCAACACATACAACCCGGAGTGGAGAAACCACCCACACTTCTCGTGGTCCAACAACAACAACACCCAGCAACAACCTCGACAGAACTTCATGCAGCAGCAACCCTGCCCTAACTTCAACCTCCAACAGCAGATGAGGCCAAACTATCCTCAACGGCAACAACAGCAGCAACAGAGGGGTCCGATGGGAGGAATGCAAACACAAGGGACCAGTTCCAGTTCATCAAATCAAGACGACAAGCTGGACAAAATTCTCCAGTTCATGGCCAATAGTAAGCAAAGGGGCTTGAAAACCGATGCATCCATCAAACGCCTGGAGACACAGTTGGGCGAGCTTGCCACGAGAGTTGGGAACATGGAGGCCGAATCAGACAAGGGGAAGTTGCCTAGCCAGCCTAAGGAAGCCAAAGTAATAACGTGTTGAGAAGCGGGAAGGAGGTAGACAATCACGTGGAAATGCCCAAACTTGATGACCCTAAGCCGACCAACCAGCCCAAGGGAGCAGAAGAGCGCCCTAAGAAGAGTACAGAAGCTGATTCAAGGAAGCAGACAGACGGCTCAATGTTACACAAGTCACCAAACACCTTCAAACCAAGCATACCTTTCCCGAGCCGACTACGAGATGAGAAGCAGGAACAGTAATTCTGAGACCTATACAGCATGCTCTCGAAGGTCAACGTCAACCTACCACTTCTAGACGTGATCAAGAATATGCCCTCGTACGTCAAGTTCTTCAAGGACTTAGTAACAAAGAAGAGAAAATTTGGAGACGGGGAGAATGAGGTAGTCTATGAGGCAGCAAGCGCAATGCAACATGACCTGCCCAAGAAGGAACGTGAACCCAGGGGATTCGTGATTCAAATAGCCCTCGAAAATGAAAAGGAGGCTTTGGGGATGCTTGACCTCGGAGCAGGAATCAATCTCATGTCGTTCTCCATCTTTCAGCGGCTCGGCCTAGGAGACCTGAGGTCGACCTGTATGTGCCTCAGCTTGCAGATCGTTCAATCCGATATCCCAAGGGGGTGGTGGAAGATGTCCTCGTTCGTGTAAGAAGACTTATTGTCCCGGTGGACTTCGTCATCCTAGATGTGGGGGACGTACAGGAGAACGGGAAGGACCATACCATCCTTCTCGGTAGACCATTCATGGCCACCACCAACACCCTCATCGATGTGAGGAATGGGACCCTAAACATGACAGTCTTGGGCGAATCAGTATCCATTTCCATTCGTGAAGCCACATCTGCATCCTCAGTGAACTTTGTGGAGGAGTGCGCCTTCGTTGATATAACCGACCCGTTCGTGGAAGAGATGAAAGTGCGAGACTTGGAAGAGAGGTCAATACCCGACCTCAAAGATGATGAAGAACCGACTGTTGAACTTATGGAAGCTGGAGAACCCAGATAGATAGCCCCACCTACGTTAGAATTGAAGGAGCTGCCCAGACACCTCAAGTATGTGTTTCTTGATGACAAGAAGCAAAAGCCAGTCATCATCTTTGCCGATCTTTCCCGTGATGAAGAGAAGAAACTGATTGATGTGCTCAAGAAGAATCAAAAGGTTATTAGGTGGAGCCTCGGAGACATAAAGGGCATCAACCCTTCCACATGCATGCACCGAATCATCTTAGAAGAAGGTGCCAAGCAATTTCGGGATAGCCAGCGGCGGCTTAACCCGAATATGATGGAAGTTGTAAGAAAGGAGGTGCTCAAGCTCTGTTCAGAAGGGCTCATTTATCTAGTGGCAGACAGCGAGTGGGTCAGCCCGATCCATGTGGTGCCGAAGAAAGGAGGCATCACGGTCATAGAGAATGAGAAGAAGGAGATGGTCCCCACCCAAATCACTACCGGGTGGAGAATGTGTATAGAATATCGGCGCCTTAATGCCGTGACAAATAAGGATCACTTCCCGTTGCCATTCATCGATCAGATCCTCGACCGTCTCTCGGGCCACCAGTTCTATTGCTTACTCGATGGACTCTCCGGCTACTACCAAGTAGCCATAGCACCGGAAGACCAGCCCAAGACAACCTTCACGTGCCCATTCGGCACACTTGCTTTCATGCGGATGCCATTCGGCCTATGCAATGCACCCGGGACCTTCCAAAGGTTCATGTTCTCCATTTTCTCCGATATGCTTGAGGACTGCTTACAGGTATTTATGGGTGACTTCTCAAATTTTGGCACTTCATTTTCTGACTTTCTCCATAATTTATCTCGTGTGCTTGAAAGATGTATTGAATCTAATTTGACCTTGAGTTGGGAGAAGAGTCATTTTATGGTGACTAGTAGAGTAGTGTTAGGCCATGTAGTGTCGAATCGTGGAATTGAGGTTGATAAGGCAAAAATTGATGTTATTGAAAAACTCCCCCCACCTGTGAATTTTAAGGGAGTTAGAAGTTTTTTGGGTCATGCTGGCTTCTATAGGCGATTCATCAAAGAGTTTTCGAAAATAAGCCAACCCTTGTGTCACTTGCTTGCTAATGATGTGGCATTTGTGTTTGATAATGCATGTGTAGATGCTTTTGATAAGTTGAAAAATAAGCTTGTGACTGCACCCATTATTATTGCTCCTGACTGGTCTTTTCCTGTTGAGATTATGTGTGATGCATCGAACCTTGCTGTTGGAGCCGTCTTGGGCCAACGAGTTGATAAGTTACTTCGTGTAATTTATTATGCTAGTTTGACCTTAAACGGTGCCCAGCTGAACTACACTACCACCGAGAAAGAGCTTTTAGCAGTAATTTTGTCTCTTGAAAAGTTTAGATCTTACATTTTAGGATCTAAAGTGATTGTTCATTTTGACCATGCTGCATTGAGGTATCTTTTGAGTAAAACTCAATTAGGCTCATTCGATGGATTTTACTCTTGCAAGAGTTTGATGTAGAAATTTGGGATAGGAAAGGTTGTGAAAATGTGGTTGCTGATCATCTTTCTCGCATTGTCCCTACTGATCATTCACTCACTTTGCATGAGCATGTTGACATAAATGATAGTTTTCCATATGAGCATGTGAGTGAAGTGGTTACTGTTCCTTGGTATGCAGACATAGTGAATTATTTATCAGATGGAGTCTTGTTGTTTAACCTCTCTTCTCAAGAGAGGAAACGTTTGGTTTTGATGTGTAGGAGTTACTTTTGGGGTGACCCGTTTCTTTTCAAGGTGGGAAAGGATGAGATCCTTCGAGGTGTGTGCCCGAAGAAGAGCAACCGGATGTCCTTGCTTTTTTCCACGAGTTTCAGTGTGCGGGACACTTTGGAGGTCGAAAGACCGCCCTTAAGGTCTCCAATCAGGTTTATTCTGGCCGACCCTCTTTAAAGATGCTTATAATTTTTGCAAATCTTGTGACCGTTGTCAAAGAATTGAAAATATTGGCCCAAGAAACGAGATGACCCTCGTAAGCAATGTTCAGGTGGAAATTTTTGATGCGTGGGGCATTGATTTTATGGGCCCGTTTCCTAAATCTTTTGGCTTCGAGTATGTTCTTCTTGCCATAGATTACGTGTCCAAGTGGGTTGAAGCTATCCCCACAAGGACATGTGATGTTAAAGTGGTCATCAAATTTTTGCAGGGTCATGTTTTGAGCAGGTTTGAATTTCCACGGGCTATTGTGAGTGACGGGGGAAAATATTTTTGCAACCGGATATTTGAGAAGCTAATGAAGAAATACAGCATTTCACACAAGGTCTGTAACATCCCATTCAGTAATTATTAAAAGTAATTATTATTAGTTCTGAGTTTGAACTAAATTACTTATATTAATAATGCTCGTTCCCAGTACCGAGCCCAGTTATTAAGTTATTAAAGTTATAAGTTCGACTTTAAGTCGTAAGTATTCTCGGTAATATTTTATTCAGTAATCGAGCCAGTTCATTAATTAATTCCAGTCTGCTTATTTTAAATAATAAACTTTATAAGTATGGAATTAATTATTCTAAGTTGTTGGAATAATCGAGTATATTTGGAAATAGTTACAGTTAAGCCGAGATGGGTTCGTGTAGAGGAAGTTGTAAACGGGTTTCATAAGATTTTTTTTTTTTCTAAGATTTTTCTAAGTCTCGGTCAAGTATTATGTGACTAATTTCCATAAGATAAGGCATGATTATTTTATTTCAAGTCTTACCTCATGCGATTAATTTCATGTGGGTTAAGAGTATTTTAAGTGGAGTTGATTATGTGAGGGTGCAAGACAAGTCATCTACATTTTGGACTCAAGTGCATGTGTTAACTTATTTTAATACATGTTAAGAAAAATGTATTATGTCGTATTGATGTGGTGGCTTACATTTAAGTGTGTAGCCCTATCAACATATTTATGGTTTGGGCTCCTTTGGAGGGGACTATCCAGTGGTCCCTTCGTCCCTACGGCAGTGGAATACGCCGATTTGAATTGTAATTAAGATAGTTGCTTAAGAATTTAAATAAAATCCTACGTGATTTTATTAAAGCTTAATAGATAGCATGCATTCATCACCTCTTCCATTATATATATACATATATATATATGTGTGTGTGTGTGTGTGTGTGTGTGTTTGAGTATTAGAAATGAGAAAATTATTAAATTCCATTTAAGCTTAGTACATGACATTTGTTTTGATGACTAAGCTAATTAAATTCTACAAGTTAAGTCATATTAGTCTTATTAATGTTGCATCATGTTCAGTTTGCAATTGCCGAACCAATTGCTTTAATTTGAGAATAAACAAGATTTTCAATTATTTAGTAAAGTCAACAATTCATTGATAAGTCTTTTGGATAAAGACACATACGTGTATGCTTAAAAAAAAAATTGACACTTCTTTTTATAATGACAAGTGTCATTAACTTAGAAGTTAAGTATTAAAATTTTCTTCTTCTTTTGGCTTATAAATCATAACATCAAATTGAGGAAAGTACTACATGCTTAGTTTTTAAAAAAATAAATAAATAAATAAATAAATAAAAATAAAAATCCATCTATACTTAGTCTAATATAGAAAGCTGAGAAGAAATTGTGTAAGAGCAAGTACTTCAGAGAAGGTCTACGATAGCATCTTATGAGTGGAGAGGAGAATTTAAGAGGTATTAAGTTAGTACTCTATTCGCTATATATATAAATGTATATATATAATGTTCTTTTCTATTTTTGTGGTGTGTATAAGTTATGTGTAGAAGAATGGCAGACATATAATATGTTTTGAATTTTTCAGCAGGAATCATAAATCTTTTATATACTTAATGAGAAAACCGATAGTGCATGTGTTTAAGTGCAATTTCGAATTTCTATATATTTAGTTGTAAAAATTCGAATTTTTATATACATGCATGATTAAGCTAAGATTAAAATGTTAAAAAAAAAATATATTATAAAGCATTAGTATGATGTATGAATGATTTAAATATGTTTAAGTTTCATTGATTTGATAATTAATTAAATTCATAAGAATGTAATTATTAGTAATGATTTTGAACTCTAGTATAACATTGATTAGTCTTTGAAAATTTTATATTTTTAGAATATATGATGGCTGGGATAATTTTATTAAATTATTTTAGAAATCAGGTTATAATCAAATATGTTGAGTTTTTGTAAATTTTGATAAAGAGATGATAAAAGTAGGTATTTTAACCTTTGAAATGAAGTTTTATAAAATAGTAAATTTGGTTTTTATGAGCATCATAAACTGTGTCGAGCCTAGTCACTTGCTAGTGAGTTGAGATGAGTATATTTTAAAAAAAATATATATATATATTTTAGAAATGTCTTATGTATTAAGAAAGTAGCATAAGGTGGTGATTATGTTTCGTACATGCCACTTAATGGTATATGTGGCTTAAGGAGAATTAAAGTAGTTTTCACCTAGCTTTTCCATTGTTTATTAATAGCCATAAAAACAGAGTATTTGTGATTCAAACCAGTCCAGTTTAAGTATATCAGTTTTATTTCCGGACTTAGTATTATTTTCGAGAACCATTAGTTTGTTCCTTTATACCCAGAGTAGAGTTGAGCACCCTAGCATCTTATTGAGTATTACGAGCATAGTACTTAGTATATTTGTTTATATATTTATGTAGCTTCCAGATACAGCTACCCAACACAACACGTACAGTTTTCAAAATTTTTTCAAAAGAAGAACAGGTGGGGACCCAGCCTGAGTATTACATTGCTTATAATCTTGTACCATGTATGAGGTATGTATATAGATATTTACTCGAACGGTCGAGTTATTCCGTTCGTGGTCCAGTTAAGATGAGTTTATGATCACCCGGTTTTGTATGGAAGATTTTCCCATCCTGGGTTTCTGGGGAGGCGACCCCCAGATGTGATCACATGATAATCCGGACAGTTCCCAGATGTTGCATCAATAAAGTGAAGTTTTATTTATGTATATACTTAGTTCATGATATTGGATTATATGTGTTGTATATTCAGTATGGGTTTTTACGGAGTACAGTGGATTAGTACTCACGCCCCACTATTATCATTTTCAGGTAACAGTGTCGGTGCAGAGGTGTGAGCTGAGCAGTGGTGGTGGGGTCGTGGATTCAGAATATTATTATTTACGAGCACATTTATTTATACTATTGTATAATATGATGTTATGTTTTTCAGATTTCCGCTACGCATTTCAAGTTTCGAACTTGCATGTTAAGTATTTTCAGATTTACAGACTTTAACCGGTTTACCAGTATGAACGGGTTTTCAAATTTACATGCTTGTTTGATCAAGATTAAAAATCTGTTTTCTTTATATTTAAACCAGCAGTTATATCAAGTTTAAGGAAAAACGGATTATTAGAAAAGATAAGTTTAGTAGCATCCCGAGTTAAGAGCAAAAGATTTAAAAAAAATTAATAATCATTTTCGAAGTAAACGAAGAAAAAAAAAATTTACTCTGATAAGCGGGGTGTTACAATTGGTATCAGAGCTAAAGTTAAGGGCTCTGTATACTAAAAGTTTAAGTTTCAGAAAGAGAAGTTTCAATAAAACCCGACCACACCACACTCACGCCTCGCCGACTACCAGGTAAGTGCTGTTAAAAGTTTTATATTCAAATTTACTAAGAGTATGCTCAATAGGATTTCAGATATTCAAACTCTAGAAATCAGTCTAAATGCTCAAATCAGTAAAAGAAACTCTTAGTAGTATCAGATATATCCTTTTATCAGAAGTCAGAACATTAGTTCGAATTCTAGTTCAAACTCTAGTTTGAACACTAGTTTATCGAGTTATTCTTAGCAACTCGTCAAGAAATTTTACCTTATCAAGAATTCAGCGTTTATTTTTCAGAAATTCTAAATTCAACTCCTGTTTAGATCAAGAATATGGTTAAGTTATTCAGTGGCACTCCGTATAGATAAAGTTTGCAGGAGATATATTAGTCAGCTATAGTCGCCAGCTTTGCGACTACCATCCCGAAAAGTTTACTAGATCGAGAAGAGACCCGAATATTCTAAGTTAAGCTATCAGATTAAGTTTTAAGTTAAATTCTGACTTTAGAGGTTGACTTAAGCCAGTATCAGAAGTAACGATCTTTCAGTGTATAATAGCCATAAGTCCGGGTAAATCATGGAGGTTGAAATAAGAGCCAAAAGTCCGGATAGACCTTGGAGGCTTGAAACTGAACCGTAGAAACACAGTTTAAGAATGTAGTCGATCTTTAGAGTCAGTACCTCGGGTATCTTATCAGTTAATTATCATGACTCTTAACTGGCAAAGTTCGAGATCAAGTTATCAGTTTTTCTGTATTAGTACTTGTTAGTAACAGTACAGCTATACAAAGTGCTTTTCATAAACCAATGAATATGAGTTTAAGGTATCGACATATAATAGTCACTTAGCTGGGTAAATTATGGAAACCTGGAATAAGGGTTATTAGTCCGAGTTTATCTGAAGACTTGAAATTGAATCTTAACAGATATCAGTCAATAAGTATCACATTTTAGATACCGAGATGATTATTTAAACTTCTCGGAAGAATTTTAGAAGTTAAGAGTAATCTGGATATGTAAAAGTTAAAGATAGTCTGTTGAATAGCAAAGACTAAGAAGTTTCCATCTATTCATCAAGTAGAATGATGAATTCACAAAAAAAAAAAAAAAAAAAAANACAAAAAAAAAAAAAAAAAGCAAGTATTCATTCCCAAGGATAGATGACGAGTTTAAGGCCAGAAGTAAGCAATTGCGAGAAGAAGCAAGAAAGAGTTAGATTAACCGGAACTCTAGCACAAGCTAGGTGTTTTCGGAATCATTAACAATTTTATTAAGTCTAGTGTAGCTATTTATTAATGGCTATACTGTTCAAGTCAAATGGTTAGTGGTTATTCAGAATTCTGCTAGGCAAAGTTTTAAGACCACAACAGAGTAAAGTATGGAATTTTAGACTGAAAAAAAAAATTCTCAGCCCAAAAGTCGAAAGTGAATCAAGAATACATCAGAAGAAGAATACTGGAAAGATAGAAATTCTAGTATCATTGAAAGTCAAGAGCTAGACAAAGATTTGTGTAGATTCAAGCACATTGTTGAGGATTTCATTATTTCTAAGAAGCTAGTACAAAAACATCAGAAAAGAGAGATGCAGACAAGTAGAAAGGAATCCTCAACTATTATAAGGTTAATTTACAGAAAGGGAGGGTGCGTCTCAAGAGCACAATACTCCATAACTCTGCCACCCATCATGGCTGTAGTTTCACAAAGATAGATCTAAAGGATCAAAGGCTCGCTTGCGTTTGAATACTTGAGTTTCCACAGAATCTTGAACTGTTGAGATGTTGTTTTGAAGCTTCTTGATAAGTTCATCGGATGTGTCAGCAGACTTGAATATTTCTCTTTGTAAAGGGGATATAAAAGTTTGATACACTCCTTCATCTAGAAATCCAAGCAAGTTGTGGAAAAAGTTATTGAAATTCAACAGACCAATTGGTTTGGTATGAAATTTCACTTCTGCCCAAGTAGCAAGGGTAAAGACAGTCATTAAAGTTCCATATCCACAAGGAAGAACGATGAAAGCATCGCAACCAGATATCAACTCCATCAAACAATCATAAATAGAAAGAGTTATCATCAAAGTAGCAGAATCTTTGATAACCTTTGATGAAGTGAGATAAAAAGGAAGGATACTTCTCACCTCGATATCAAAGCATTTAACAGCCATTAAAAGGTTATTAAAGAAATAGATACTAGTCCCTCCATAAAGTATGTTGATCTTTTATTTACCCAACTCTTTCACCAGTTGGCTTACAACATAGATGTTATGAGGGAAGAGTACAAATCTAGAACCACCAAGAACACACACAGTTTTGATTGGTTGAAGAAGTTTGACACCTTGAGAGGATTCGGCAGTAGCCATTTATTATGAGAGACACTTGGCTATGAATATAGATTCGCCTTTTAAAGAAGCAAAGTGCAGACAAG